ATCGAGCCCCACATCGGGCTCCCTGCTCAGCGGGAAGCCTGCTTCTCCCTCTCCCACTCCCTCTGCTTGTGTCCCTCTCTCACTGTGTCTCTGTCAAAATAAATAAATAAAATTAAAAAAAAAAAAAGTTATTCCACACCGGAAACTTCAACAAAGCCCAGCATAATTATTCATTTGTTGTATCCCACAACACAATAATCCCAAAATAACAATACCAACATTACTATCAATAGCATGATTACTGAAAACAGTTTAAGATGCTTTTATGTATTTTAAAAATCCTTGGGTTATGAAGATATACAGATGAAACTGTGTTTTAACATTATTTGGAAAATGATTACAGAAAATGAACCATTTTTGACATTCTTTTTGTACCCAGGCTATATAGATAACAGTCAAATACTGGATTTTAAAATCACTTGGAAGAGTTTGCTAGGATTTTGCTATCAGGTGATGATGCAAATTAATTGGCTTTATCTTGCTTTCAAGTTTAAAAATTTCCTTTAGGGGCGCCTGGGTGGCTCAGTTGGTTAAGTGTCTGCCTTCAGCTCGGGTCATGATCCCGGGGTCCTGGGATCGAGCCCCACGTCAGGCTCCCCAATCAGTGGGGAGCCTGCTTCTCCCTCTCCCACTGACCCTCCCCACCTCTCTCTCTCTCTCTCAAATAAATAAGTAAAATCTTAAAAAAATAAAATTTTCTTTTAAAAATGTAATTTAATTTAGTAATTACATATTTACATGCTCTAAAGCCAAATCTACAAACCAAGATATATGCCTATATGTAGAAGTCTAGTTTCTATTCCAGTCTCCCTTCACCTCCTTCCTGCCTATTCCCTATAGGTAATAGTTTAATTTAAAACAAATTTAATGGCTTATTCTTCCATTTGTAAAGATAGAAGCTGCTGGCGTGCTATAAATGAATAAATACACATCAATGCTTTTTTTCACTTAGCAATCTGTTCTGGAGAAAACCATTTAATAACGTATAGACTATTTCTCCTTCCCTTTTTACAACCTCCCGGTGCCCCACGGTGTGGACAGCAAGCATTTCATGTGCGCAGGGCCCTCTGGACAGACATCTGAGGTGTCTGCAGGCTGTGCTTCCCTACCACATGGCAGGGAAGGGCCTCTCCAGTCTCCTCTTCCTCACTCGGCTGGTCTGTCTGTGGCACAGATTCCTGGAAGTGGGATTACTGGGTCAAAGCGCAAGGCCTCTCTAATTTTGCGGGATTTCCAGGTCCCCTCCAATGGGGTTCGTATCATGTTAAATACCAATGGATGATATCTGAGGATGTTTCCCCCATAGATGGCTGTCAGACACTGGGATTACCTCATCTGACAGGGACAAATCGTATTGCGATGACTTTTAATCATATTTCTCATTTTATGAATACGCTGAGCATCTTTTTAGGTCTCCAATGAACGATCTGCTTCTCATGGTTCCTTTTCTGTGAATCTGTTCCTATCTCTGTCCGTTGGTGTCTTGCCCAACCTCCAAAGGAAGTGGTCCTGGGGAGGGACAAGGAGAAGGACACGGGACGAGCAGGGAATGCTCAGCAGAGTTCGTCAGGGGAAACTGAGGACCCCTGCCCTGGCATCTCCTGGGGTGCTGGAAAAGCAAGCCACTTCTTGGGCCCACCGCAGACAGACTAGCTCAGAGGAGCGCAGGTGGGAGGCCTGCTGCCCTTGGGGTTGGGGGGGAGCCTCCTCCTGAAGATGCCCCTTTCCAGGGAGATGGCCCTTCTCGGGCTCCATGCACATCAGCTGTGGACATCCCCAGTGACTTTCAGGCAGGAGTGACTGCGGCGCTCTGCCCACCACACTCTCAGCCAGGCAGGTTCTTGAGCAGCAGTGCCCACCCAGACGAGGAGCCCTCCTAGGGAGGGTGGGCGCAGTGAGTGGGGATGGCTCCCCAGGTGGGCTCCAGGACCTCTGTCTCTGCTGCCACCGGGGACCAAGGTAGGGAGGCGCTCGAAGGCAGCATCCCCAGGCATGGGGCCTGGCGTGGGACCAGGCGTGGGGCCTGGCGTGGGGCCTGGCGTGGGACCAGGCGTGGGGCCTGGCGTGGGG